AGTAGAAGGTGATTCTATTCCTTGCGGAGGATTTGGATTAAGAATTAAAACAGGCTGTTTTGCGAACAGTATAACTCCTAAATTCCACCTGTATTTTTCGAAACTGACCCTTGGAGAACTCTCAAATAAACCCAGATGCTTGCCTTCCCCTTTTTGGTTATGTATTTTTTAAAAATGGGAATCATCATATTCAACTTTCAGGCTGGCTGATTTTATATCAGTTTCCAGGGTAAAAGGGTATCTGCTGGTTGTCCCCCAAAATGAGATGCCTAATCCAAGACAAATTTGGCCCTTCAAGGCAGTGGAAGAGAGACAATATTATAGTATAAGATAACCCTATTTACACCCATTCTATTGGTGGATTACTTTATGTAATAATGAGGCAATTCTCAAACTATAAACTCCACCCTACCCTTTCTATGAACCTGTTAGAGTTGAAGCTCTCTAAGGAAATAATACTATAACTTGAACGTTGCCTCTGTTCTTATGGCGCATTGAACAAAGGGTATTATGCTCCTTCTTCCCAGGGCATTCTCTGCCTCGATACTAACTTTCCATTAGGGTAGCCTTCTTCCACCTTCTACCTTCTAAATGTTCTGTAATGTTATTTCCAAATATGTAGGTCTTGTTAATTACGGATTATGGGAATTGTAGATTAATACTTCAAGACAGCACTAGATAAGGGGAAACTACTTTTGGCATGCCTCCTTATTTCTGGGATGCTGGCGCATGAAGAACCATGAAAGGTAAACTGAAATGGGACCATCGTGAAGTGGGTGGAGCTAGAGAAAGACCTGTCTGGCACTTTCTCGTCTATTTGTAGGACTGTGGATGCTTTGAGTATAGGAATGGACTCTGAGGGGTCCTTGGTGCTCTCTGAGCTTCGTTACTTTCTTGCAGATGTTCTGTTACCCAATTAGGTAATATCATCAGTGGTCAAGCACCAAGGAGCCTTCATTTCAATCCTGAGCTACAAATGTTCTCCTCTGTTAGAATTTGACTCTATTTGGGACAGTGTGTGCACATGCGTAGCAGGATCCTTAGCAAGAATTCCATAATAATGACAATCTGATCACAAATCAGGGATGGAGAATATGGACTCAGAGCTTTTCTCCCCAATTCTTCAAGTCTTGGCCTTCTCCTTTCCTACCCAGGAAATAAATTCCCCCTCAAACACCCTCCCCCATTGCTCTTTGATCAGAAAGAGGTTAGATTCAAAGATTTTTCCCACCACAACATTTCTCCATGGGTGACTGAGAAAGGATGCTCACTCTGTGCCTACCTGGGTTGTGGGAAATATATGTGGAGCATCTTCCTTGGGATTTGGAACAAGCAAATGAAGGCAAGACTCCATGTTACCAGATGCCACGTTTTTTAAAAATATATTCAGTGTCTACTTAACAGGGCATCCTTCTTTGGAAGACATCAAGAGCCCTGCTTGGGCTTTCAGTTCATAGTATGGCTCCTTCCCAGAACTTTGCACAACACTGCATTAACAGGCACGCAGTGGAGCAACTCTGTTGTTTCCCCTACTTTGCATGAAAAGTGAGGCTCAATATTGTTTAATTCACAGCTAACTTAAGGTGCTGGGAGATGTGGTGGAGGAATGCCAAGGCAGCAGACAGTGCCTTGTTTTGTCTCACTGTTGATGGAAAGGACAAGTCAAGCCAAATCAAGAAACATTTCGGGAATATGCCAACTAAATTACAGGATCCAGGCTTCCCCTTGCATGCCACACAGGGCTAACTTCCCAGAAGTTACCCCAGAAACAACTCAGGCATCCTTCTTTTTCTCCAGCTGTTGCCTTAGGACACTTTCCATCTAAACCGGGGTTGCCAATCAAAGCTACCTTTGCCTGGTGCACCTTTAGTCTGAGGCCACTACACCCAAGATCAATACTGAGACAAATCAATCACTCTTGAATATCCTTTAATCTATCTATCAGTCAGGGCAGCTTAAAAGAAACAAGGAGGGTTGGGGGAGGGTGGAGCTGAGGCATGCTTGTATGATAAAGAGGAGTTTAATTCATCTTGGTAACTATGTCCTGAATGCCAAGTATTCTGGATTAAAAGGATGAGGTATTATATTATGTTAGTGATTGGGTTTCTCAGTTCCACGAAAATGCCTTGGTGACAGAATTGGGAAGGAAACTGGAATTAATAGAGTGAAGAGTCATTGACTGCAATAAAGGGCCGTTAGTCTATGGAGCCAAAGAGAAACCCGGAGACAAGGACAATGCGCATAGGAGACCAAAGAGCAGTTTATGAGCATCCAAGGAAAGGGGCACTTGGGGCTACAGAGAGGTGGAATGAAAAGGAATTAGTCAAGCAATTTGGAGAGCTTATTTCAACTCCTACACTGTGCCTGGCTATGGCTGGCACAGCGACTCTCAGAATAGCACAATAATTTGGGGAGGGGGGGGAGGGGATGGTAGGGAGGCATTTTGATTGGCCTAGATTCCTGTGAATTTGGAATAAGGCACAACTAGGTGGCTATATTCTGACGCTGCCCACCCCACTGTGCAAATTGGTTAAATTGCCTTTCCCCCAAGGGGTAGGCCTCACATCTTGCTAGGGAGTCCAATCCACAGGCTCCTGGCAGGTTAGACACTGGCTGCCTTCAGCAGGGAGCTAACCCCTTCCACAGCCTTCCTTGGGTGATTGTGTCTCTGCGCTGGCAGGCTTCTACCCCCTCCCCACCTCCCACTGTGCTGGAGAGTTGGCTGGCTCCCTGCAGGCTGGCACTGCGATCAGTGGAAAAGAATGAAAAGACAAACAGTATCCACTTATGCTCTTCTCAGCTGCCAGATCCTGTCCTCATCCTTCAAAGCAGCCTGTGGCATGTGAAGAGTTTGAAAAGAACCACTGTACGGCTGTAAACTGTAATGGGGAGGGGGCTGTTTTTTTTGCAGTTGGTGCTCTGTAGAGAGTGCCCGTTTTTACTGCCAGATGTTCTGCCTCTGTGTAGAGTTGAATGTTTCTATGGCATGCAAGTCTGTGAGCCATGTGGGACTGGAGGCATGTTGCCTAAAGAGTGTTAATTATTTCTGGGAATATTTGCAAGGTGTGTGTTGTGTGTGTGTGTGTGTGTCTGTGTATGTACCCTGGTATCTGTGTGTAATAATCTTATGTGCATTCATTATCATGCAATAGTCATACTGTATGTATAAATTACATTTTGCTTGTGTGAAGATCTGTGCATGCCAATACCACGTGTGGAGCATGAGGTCTCGCTGTCTCAGTCCCTGTATGTATGTATGCATGTATGCATGCATGTATGCATGTATGTTATCTATGTAAGATGTATAGTCCCTTAATTTTTGAAACACCCATTTAACCATCAAAAAAGCATATGAGGCAATCTTTCCACCTGATGGTGCCTGATTGTGCTGCAATAAACAAATCCCAGGATTCTTATTCAACGTGGCCAGTGGGTATTATGGGACTTGCAGTCCAAGATAGCTGGAGATCACCTGGCTGATCTGTTGGAAAGCGTGTTCAAGAATGTATGTGAGCTACAATATGACCTTGCTGCATTATGATGGAATTAATAGGATTGTCATTTGGAAATCTTTCAGCTGTTGAGGCTTTCCAAGCAATGCCAGAGAGTACGACTTGTGTCTCCCATTAATTCTTTGGGACTCTGCTTGGTGGGGAGGGGGGGAGAGAAAGAGGCAGAAGAGCTGGGAAAGCCATCTTGCTTCAGTCCCACGCGCCGCGTTTCACCTGACCTGCTAGTTGACCTTGCAAGGTCTCTACAATTTGGGGTCCCGAGTCTACCATCTCCCATCTCAGAACGAAAGCTTTGATTGGATTCCCATGGATTGTGCAGCTGCTTTATTTTTATTACAGGGTTACTCTGCTGTTGCTAGATGCATCGGAGCCTGGTCAGACCATGGCTGATAGCATGGGTGTCATTGTTATGGGGAAATTGTAGAGGACTTCTTAGCAAAGCTTTGAAGGGGATTCTGTTGCCCTAATAATACCTACCGGTATGTGCCCCCTACCATCAGCTGCACCTCTTCCCACAACCATACGTGTCTTTCCAGGACCCAGGATCGGAAATGTCATCATTTGGGGGAATCCATCCCAGAAATCAGCCATTCAGGCTAAGCAGTTGTACCTTTCTGACTCTTAGCCTTCTCTTACCTGACCCCCCCCCCCTATGCAACTGCCCTAAGAACTGCTGAAGTTCTGCTTCCATATTTTGCCTCTCCAGGGGTTCTAGTCACTCCTCCGAGATCAGAGTGCAAACTTTGGTTTGCCTCTTTCCACAAAATCCTTCAGTCACCTTGCAGAAAAGAATTCGAATTCTGTGAGAGGCAGGCCCCAGAGTCAGGATATTCTACCGAAGGCAAAGAAGCTGGGGGAGGTGGGCGGGGGGAGAGACACACACACACAGACCACCAGATAGGATGGGGCAGGGATTGGGAAGATGGGCTTCCCTCTGGAGTTCTGATATCGGACTCAGTGGAAGGACAGGAGCAATGGGCAGAACCACCAAGCAAGGCCTTCACACACAGCGTTGCTGCTGCAGCAGCAGCAGCAATAAAAGCAGAGTCTTTGACACTCCCAGAGCCGGCATCCAGATGCCATTGAGCCCAGTGGCTCCCGTCTGCAGCAAGGATACAGCCAAGCTGAAACTTTGTTGCTGCACTTTGTGATACCAAGTGCTCTCCGGTCGAGTCCAGGGTCCCCGAAATTGCTGGCTTCCCTCTCACCAAGCGTCTCGCCTAACAACGCGACGCCCCCAGCGCATCTTAAATCAGCCGCCGCCGCATCCTTTACAAACTCAGGTTTTCTTTCCTTGTCCACTTCCAACCCGTCCCTCGAAAGGAGATCCCGGTCAGTTTCCGTGTCTCCGCTGGGCACCGTCGTCTCCGTCGAGCCTCATCGCCCTCCCGCCGTCCCTCCCACCAGGCTCCCCGGCGAGAGTGCCACCACCGTGGCTCACTGAGACCGCCGCCGCCGCCGCCGCGCGTGAAAGCCGCTCTGACTCACCGTTGGGATGGATGTGGCTGGTGAGGATGGTGCCGGCCAGCAGAACCTGCCACAGCCCTGTGCCCACGCGGGCACTGGCGCCGAGCTGCAGCCATCCAGCCATTCCTCGGCAGGAGGCGCGGGGACGGCAGGAGGACGGGACGAGACCCGGTCCGGAGGAAGCAGGGGAGGGGAGCGGGCGGGAGCCGTCTGTCCCAGCTGGAGTCCGCCGGGCTCTGCCCCCCGCGAGAACTCAGGGCACTTCAGGGCCGCTCAGCACCCAAGCCCGCCGCGGGCTCCTCGCCTGCCCCATCGGCGGTTCATGGCCCGACGGACCCGCCGCCGGGGCTCGGAGGGCGAGCTGCGGGGAAGCGAGGGCGTCGGGCGGAGAAGGGGGCTCGCTCCGGCAGCCAGCGCTGGAGAGCCCGCGCCGGCCAGCCGCATAGACCCCCCTCGCCGGCCGAGCGCCGCGGCGCGACTGTGCGTGTGCGTGTCTCTCGCTCTCGCCCCGCTCTGCTCTCGGTCCTTCCCTGCCAGGCAGCGCTGGGCTGGCGGCGAGCACCTTGTCCGCGGCAATGCAGAAGAGAAAGAAGAAAGAGCCAGCGAGGGGCTGCAAAACCCGGACTGGAATCCGCCACGGGAAGGGACGGAGCAACAGCTGGTTCCAGACTGACAAGCTCCGGAGACGCAAACAAGCTCTCCGCTGGGAGGGAGTGGAAGCTGCAGCCGCCAGGCGGAGCCGCGCGCACTTGCCTCCCGTGCTTGGCTCCCGGCGAAAGCGGGTTGCAAAAAACCTGCCCGCGGAGACTCTGGGAAAGGAGGCGGGCGCGCTGGTGCCCGCAGACGCCTTTTTTTTTCCGCGAGGGAAGGGGAAGCCGGGCACCAGCCCCTAAGCAAAGCTGGGGCTGTGTGGGGAGACGCCCTCCCCAGCCCTCCCTCCATGGCAAGCCTACTTTCCCCTCCTCCTCCGGTCCCCGTCAAAGCAGCCCGTCCGTCCAACAAGTCCGCGGCTCCACTACCTCCACCGCCCTCCCTCCTTCGCGGCTCTCGCGAATTCAGCCCCCAGCCGGGACACCGAGGGGAAGCCTCCGGGAGCCTCTGATCTCCGAGCGGCCTTCCCAAGAGAGAGCGAGAGCGCCGAGAGTTGCCCAGCCGGTCGCGCCCTCCACCTTCCACCCAGAAAGGGGGCCAAGGTCAAGGAGCCCATAGCGACACGCCCCCTCCCCGCCCGTCTTTTGGCAGTCGCTGCTTCTTAGGAGGCATCGCCTCTCCTTTCCACTCGCGAAGGAAGGAACTCGTCCCTATGTTGCAGATGAGAGAAAGAGGGCGAGGAAGGACGGCGGGAGGGGGGGGGAAGGGACCCCGCTGATTTGGGAGATTCAACCGTGTCCTCTGCAGGGAAGGCTGGCTCCCCTTCCTCCACTCTCCACCTTGGCAGAGGAGCCAGAACTCCCAAAGGATTCCAAAGTCCCGTCTGCTTCCGAGTCCAGGCCTGCGCTTCTCTGGTGCAGGCCAGGGGCTGCCAATCATCGGCATTTCTGTTCTGGACAAATGTCCCCCGAGGAGCTGCTTGGAATCCCTGCGCTGTCCCTGGGCCCCTTCTGCTGCAGAGGAAGGGCGCGAATGACCCCGCCAGTGCCCCCCTCCCCCCCGAGTGAGGACAGGATCCAGGCCAGGAGGCTGACCTGATGCAAAAAGACACCTGCATCTGTTCCGGCAGCGCAGAGACCCGCAGCCAGCAGAAAGAGACACAAAAGATGGGACGAAATAGGCAGAGAACAATACAGCCAGGCTGAGACACATAGGCAAACAATAGGTACATCGAATCGCAGGAAAAGGCACACGGAGCAACATTCAGGAATGCAAACATGCAGGCACATACATCACCTGCACGCACCCACCCAGGAAAGCCTAGCAAACCCAGAGAGGTGGAAAAATGGGGGGGAGGAAGGGAAGGTATAGAGACAAAGCAGCACAAAGAATAACAGGCTATTCTGTAGTCCAGCCTTCCCTTACCTGGTCTCTGGCAGATTTGCTAGTGTAGCACTTCCAACACACCCCGTGGTGTGTTGGCTAGGGATTATGAGAAGAGTAGTCAGTGCATCTATCAGGCATCAAGGAAGAGAGAAAAAGACCAATCCAAAGGGAAGGAGACCCTGAAAATGTAACACTTAAGTTATATGCAATGTGCCTGTACAGTACTGCTTATGTGAGGGTTTAGATCTCAAGCCAACAAAGCAGACTTCACACATGATGGGCCGGGGAGGGGGGGAACAAGACCCTTCCCTCACACACACACTCTTCACCCACCCTTTAAGGTCTCTTAAGGGATTTGGCTGAGTGCCATACATATGTACGTGGAAATGGAAGGAGGGCCAATCTCCTTCAATGACTCTTTGGGAAAAAAATAATTGCTTGAATCTAGGGCAGCAAAATGCCCCTAGGGCAGCTGCTGAAGAGCCTCCCATCACAGAACTTTTGCCACTCCTTTGCAGGCACGCTTAGTTCTCCTGCGGGAGAGCAATATGCTGGGCGGCTGTAGCCATCCATAATGCTGCCATCCACTCCCTCCCAAGGCCCCAAAACAAGGTAAGTCGGAGCTGAGGTGGAGGCAAGCTCTCTTCTAACTTCTTCTGAAGCAGTATGGGGATTCTGAAGAAAAAAAAACCTATTTGTGGGTAGATATAAAATGGGATTCGTTTGAAATTCAGAAACTGCCAGTCCAGGATATTGTGGATGGAATGGCAGCCCCCCCTTTTTTTAAAACACTTACTTAGCAGACACAACTCCCCTGGGGCAGTAAATGCATCAAGGTTTTTGAATGGAATTGTCTGCTTCAGAGCTTACATAAATCCCCCTCTACTCTCTTCCTACAGATTTCTTTTCTCACACTGTGCTTATTTTAGGAACTTTTGACTCACTGGGCTGGGCCCTTAGTGCCCCAACTTCCCCTTGGAGGACAGTGTCCCTGTCAGAAACTTGTGACACCTCGGACCTGACTGTCAGAAAGAGAACAAGTGGCCAGGCAAGTGTCAGAGAAAAGGGGCGCACTTAGGGGACACTGGCCCTGACAGCCACGGCTGGGGTTGTACGAGACAAAGTCTTGGCAGTGACATCACTGCCCAGCCTTGGGGTTTCCATAGAAACCCCCTTTCAAGCACACATTGACCTGAGCATGGGGGAAGGGGGAGGGGAAGATCTGGCTGCTCGTCAGCAGGTGCTCCTCAACCCCTGAATGCTTTTCAGGAGGAAGAGGTATTTACAGGTGCTGTCCTGAAACTGCACGGAGGGAATGGGGACACACAACCGATCTTTGCTTGTGAGTATGTTGCAAAGACTCATCTGCACTCCTGACACCTCTGAAAAGTGACAGTCTTGTGCTCTCCAGAAGGACTGATATGTGCCTCTCCACTTCCCATTCTGACAATGTCAGAAGCAACCCAAGGGAGGCACAAAAGCTTGCACACACACACACACACACACACACACACACACACACACACATTGTCATGCAAAAGAGGGAGCAGGTTGGCATTCATTGTTCTGGGCAACAGTCAGGTGGGCATAATGACAGTTGCCAGAATCAGAGGAAATGTATCTTGTCACTTAAGAGGAAAGCCACGTATCAAAATTAATCAGCGTTTCAAAGTCAGGCTGCTGAGTTTAGCCATTGCTGACTGCAGTAGTTTCACCCTTGAAGCCAAGAAAGGCACGTTGGAAATCTGGTATGGAATTTAATCTTCAGAGAATCTTTTGAGAGGTGGATTCTGAGCAAGGTCTTTTTGTCCTCCAGGCTCTGGGATCGTTTTAGACGGAGTAGGTTTCCCTGAGATTTCAGTAACCAAAAGGAAACTTGACCAGGGGCCTCACTGGATCCCCCCCCCCGTTTTTCAACTCCAGACCGATGTCTCCCCTACTTTCTTGCTTTCCTTCCCTCCCTGTTGCTTTCTAAAATATCCCCAATATTGCAGAATACCCTATGATGGGACTAAGACCGAATGTCACGCAGCAAACAAAATTGCCTGCTGTGAAGGCAGCATTTCTCAAGAATGCCCTTCATGAGCACCTTTATCAGCAGAAAAATATGATCACGGAATTTGGCATTCTCTGTGCTGCTTCAAGTCATGGAAGTCAATAATAGTCCAGATGTGTCGGATATTAATTCTCAATGGCTATGTGCTTGGGAATTATAGATATTCAATGCACCAAGTTGGAGGAGCCTATTATATTTGCCTGTGACCCGTAATACAAAGATGGAGAGACTCACTTTTTTGCCCCACCCCACCCCACATCTCCAGAAATGTTTCTTGAGCCAATCACTGCTCAAACCTTTCTCTCCCTGCATTCCAATCTTGGGCATGATCTCCTATTCGCCCATGCCTTAAGCAGAAGGCTGGAGTCCCAGCAGAGTCCCTGCTGTTCTGGAGCTTTTTGATGATTGATGAGGGAGGACAAAACAGCTTGGCAGCAGAGAGTAGTTAAATCCTTCTATTTTCATGAAACGCATAAATAGGTCTAATGCACAGATGCTTGGGTCACATGTGAGGTCTTTCTTAGTAATATTTGTGCCTCTTTCAGGCTGGGACCCATTTATATTAGTTATACCACTGCCTGCGCCAGGGAATAGCAATGGCCCAATTGGCAACTGGTTCACTGCAGCTAAAGAGGCCTGAAAATCACTGGCTCCTCATTTGTGTTCTGTGAGGTCTTGGTTGGCAATACCAAGTTTACACCAACAAAGCAGATGATATCCCAGTGGGGAGACTTTGCACCACGGAATGGCAGATCTCTGCTTGCCTGTTTTAATTTTGAAGCAGCCAGCAAGAGGATTTCCAAATAAAGCTTTGGTTGTGCCCCACCTGCATGCAGAGGGCTAGGTAGAATATGGTCCCTTCCCCCAGCTTGAAGAGTACAGTAGTAATGGCTTGATAAAATTAGGACTGTCTTCCCTCTCATATTACACTGATGGCTACTATCGGTGCCAGTTTGGAGGATTCTTGTCAAAGCAAATAATTTTAATCTGGAGCATATTGGAGGCAGAAGGCTAAAGCTTCCCTCTGTCCAGAGCAGTTCTGATCAAAAGGAGGTTTTCTGTCACTCCGTTTCAGAATGGTTTTGCCCTTCTTTTTCCTGCT